CCACTGCCTTCCCTGGCCGCTAGCAGGCTTGCAAACAGCCTGTCTCTGAGGACAAACCCTGGCCTCATCCTTATCAGCTGCCCTCCTTATCAGCTGCCTGTTTTGTTCTAGGGTCACTTTAGATGCCATCACCAGGCAGTGTGAGAAGCACTGGGGAGATAAGGAGGGTGCAGTGTTTGTGGATGGAGGAGCACAGCTCTGCATCCCTGTAGCAACAACACTCCCCACTAAGGCCTGGCAAGTGCCTCTTGTCCTCTCTCAAAGTGAGACTCAAGCCCTTCCCATTTCCCTGACACATTCTCTCTATTTACCAGTGGCATGCACCTCCCACACGGACTTTGGACAACCTGCAGTAACACCTGTCCTGTGCCTGGCTGTGCAAAGCTATTTGTTCCCTGTGGAATTACCATGGGGCTCCAGGTTTGCGACACGCACCAATTCAAATTCTTCTGATTCCCACTTCCACTGAAACATCCTGGCCTTCATTAAAGTCTATAAAATACCTCTTCTGGTATCAAATTCTTCAGAACATTCCTTCACTCTCAAGCTGTGACTCAGGAAGGCGAAAAGAAAATATTTAAACCAAGAGCTCTCTTTACAGAGGCCCCACAGCTAGAGAGAAGCTGCTGGGACACATCCTGAAGGATTTTGGTCCTTCCTTGCCATGCCAGCATTAGAAATGCAAACTGAGGCCAGACTTGCTTTTGTGGAGGACCTTGCCAATAGTTTTGATGGGTCTTTCCTTCACAGCAGAAACTAGGACTTGTTAAACAATTAATTTTAAATAGCTTGTGGCTTTTGAGCACATGGCAGCCCATGAAACACTATCACATAGTAACAAAAGCACCCAGAATCTTTATCAGACCCATCTGCCATGAGCAGTTTTGTGCTTTCTTCCAAAAAACATGTTAAGAGCAGTGTAAGGATATATTTCACAAACAGATTTTGGGTTGCTTTTATTTTATGACAGCCTGTACTGTAAGGAAGTCCTGACAGGTATGAGGAGCTTAAGTGCCTTTGCTGAAATCCTGTCCAGATTTAAAATAACATGAGACTTAGGTTTATTTAAACCATCCAAAAAGTAGTTTGCTCCACCAGATCAAATTAACAGCTCTAAGGAGAAAAGCAACCTCCACAAGATCACCCATCTGTGTCTTCACAGACAAGTGTTGCACTATGTGCTCAGTTAGGTATTTAACACAATAGTGCCTCTGTACCAAGCTTTTCTTGGTATCCTAAAATATATTTCTTTTAATTAATGGTAAAACACATTTTCTGTGCTTAAATAGACTCATGATGGGGATGAGGGGTATTAATTTAACTAAACTAAGAATTCTCCTTTTAGAGCTTTCCAGTGTGACTGAGTTTCCAAAGACAATATTTGTTTTTTCCCTGAAAGGCTAACAGTTCTCATTTACTGGGGAAATTTAGGCTGTACTGTTAATTGGGAAGAGTTTTTATTCTAAACCCCATTCTGCTAACCTACATCTGGTGCTACTTGTAGTAAATGTAGTGATGAGAAATTCTAGCTTTAACAGGATTTAGTAGCATTTGCAATTGTTTCATCACTTGCTGAAAGTGTGCAAGACTTTCTTCTCACTGTGGAGTTGTACACAAACTCTTTAATTCAAAATGACATTTTTCATAGTAGGAAAAAAAGTGTATTTTGTGTGATGGACTGTCCAATTGTTTTTTGGTGTTTTTTTTTTAATTCTTCAAGTTCTATTTGTCTCTGCTTCATAAAGTGCTGTGACATAAAGGGTCCTGTGGCCACTAGTTTCAGTTTGCAATGCTCTGTGCTCTTGCTCGCCTGCCTTGCCCAGGAACACTTTTCTAATTGCACAAAAGCCTCTTGGGCTGTTTGAGCTGGACTCCCACCATTGCTCCAGCCTTCAGTCCTGGTCCAGAGGCGTGGATCCAGCTGAACATCCCGCTGTGCTGTGCTGTGCTTTCAGCCATCGGACGGGTGGGTGTGAAGGGGTGTGCCTTTGCCAGGCCCTCGTAAGGCTCAGGTTTGACAGCCTGTGCTGGGCAAAGGCCGGCGCACTGAAACACCCTCCCCCTCTGCAGGACGTGGGCTTTGGAGTACAAAGCAGCTGATCGGAGATAAGCGTGACAGAGATGAGGGGTGGACTTTACCAGCAGCAGGCGCCAAGTGGGAGGTGTGTTTTAGATGCAATGAGAGGAGAGGGCAGAGTCCTGCTGTGCACTAATCCACGGCGTGTCCTGTGTTTCGGGGCGGTGCAAAGTCAGATGCCTGGGCTGGGTGTGAGGCAAGGAGCCACGTCCAGCTGCAATGAGGAAACAGCAGCGTGCACAGGTGTGGAAGGGGCCAGGCAGGCTGACAAGTAGCAAGGAGATCGAGAGAACTTGGGAATGGAGATGCTCAGGCTGCGTGTGTGTGTATCCAGCTTGCTCCTGACTGGATCTGTGACGCACCAAGGCAGCAGTGTGATTCCTCCAGGCGTGGCTGAGGGAGCCCTGCCTCCCACCATGGGCTGGAGATGGGTTTCACCCTGTCCACTTGGGAGGATGAGGCTTTCTGGGAGTTAAAAGAGTGATTATTCCCCCAAATAACTGTGCAGTGTTAGCAGTGTAAGCAGTCCTAATACCACTGAGGTGATAAACCAGAGTGAATGCACACTGAATCCAGAATGGAAAGTTTTGAGCTTCCTAACAGTTGCTCTGTAATTTAAAAATTGGATACAGCTTATCTGTGTCATCTCAATAGGCAAGCAAACAGTGATCACAAAATTAGGTCACAACTTATTTAGTTCAGCAGTCTGACAACACTGCTGGGGAGAGAAAAGGACTCTGAAAAAGGTGACAGGCGAGGGCTGAAACAGTGTGCAGGGACAAAAAGCATCACTTTGGTTTGCGTCACGGAGAAAGGTCAGGGAAAGTCTGTAAGATGAGAATCCCAAGGTGACAGCATGGAAGATACAAAAGGGAAAACCTTGTTCTTTGGAAGCTGTATTTGGAGAAAAAAATATGCCCGCCACCCCAGTTTTAGTCAACTCACAAACTTCTTTCATTTGGGGTTCCTGTACAGGGAGGCTCTGGTGGCATCCCTGACATCCCCTGTCCAACAGGGTTGCTTTTATGAGCTCATAGCCAAGGCTTGTGGAAAGCTTTAAGGATTCCCCTTTCCCAAGGGAGCCTGGTGCTTGATGTCAGTAGTGACAATGGCTCTGAATGTGGTGGAAAAGGTTTCATTGCTTCACCAGGCAGCAGCCACTTTGTGTGCTGGTGTGACCTGGAGTACAAACCCCAGCTGGATTGAAGAGGAAGGGGAATAGCCAGGATTCCTCCTGCTCTGTGGGGGTCCTGCAGGGCCCTCCATGTTCTCATGCTGGTGGCTCAGAGGCCACTTCACAGCTGAATTTCTTATGAGTTCAAGACTGTGTTGTCATCTCAGAGAGAAATGATCATTGACAGGACACTTCTTTGGTCTACTGAACTCTTTCCTTGTAAAAGGAGAAAAACAGGCTGGGAAAAGGCCTCAACCTTCAGTGGCCTGAGAATTAGGCAGAGTAACTTCCCTTGTGCAGGAAAAAGTTCCTCCCTCAAATAAACCCCAAGCAAAGCGGAGACCTCAATTAGTGCTTGAGCAAGGACTCGAGGCATTCCCTGGCACGCGTGTTATGCAAGGGTCAGGTTCTGCTGCCCTCGTTCCTGTTCCTCCCCGAAACTGCAGCCATTCACACACATGCCTCAAATGCATGAGCGCTCCCACCTACTGCTCTGCTGTGTCCCAAAGCCTCCCACTGAGGCTGAGACAGCAGTCCCAGTTTCACTGGTCCTGCACCCGGGGTCACCCAGCAGCAGGAGCATCAACCTGGCAGCACTGGATCCCTGTCTCGTGTATCTCAGCTCTCTTCCCACCTCCACAGACGATCTATAGGAGAGACAGATTTGGTGCAAGATGAACTTGTTGTAATTTTTGGCACTTTAGAAGCTCATTTGTGCTAAAGCAGAGAGCAGAGTACGTTGTAGGACTCACACAGTCCAGTGAGACTCCTTTGTTTTTTTGTAAACTCTGAGGAATTACTCCACTGGACATCTCTTGACTGCACTTGGCCCCCCAGTCCCACCTGCTCCCATCACATAAACACCTAACAGGCAATTTAGGGCTGGTGTCTCTGGGAAGATGCAGCCCTGGGTATGAAACTGCCTTCCCTCTGCAAGGCTGGGACCCATGCTACAGGACAGCTCCTTTTCTGCCCAACACACAATCCTACCGGAATGCTTTCCATCCCGGGGCGTGGGAACAGGGCTCTAGCCACAACCTGGGTACCACTTCCTAATCCTGTGGTGTGAGGAGAGCAACTGGAGGTGCAGGAATGAGGGAGCAGCAGGGATACTGCTGGGCAGCCCCAGGCAGCTGTGCAGGGGAGCAGGGCTGTGGTGCTGCCCTGCATTCCTTTCAGCATGGAATGGTGGGCAAGGTGGCCTGGGAAACGCCCTTCCCTACTCACTGGAAGGCTGGATCTTGATCAGCTGCATTTTTACAAGAGGGACTCATCCTTAATCTGCTGGGATTAAAAAGGGATGTGTTTTACTGCTCCCCAGAATTTAGGTGGTGTAAACAAGTGTTTTGCAAACCCCAGGACCAACAACAATCTGTCACTGTCAGCAAAAGCAAGTGCTCTACCCTGACTGGGCCAGATTTGAGCCTCACCCCAAAGCCACGGTCCCACTAATGCTGGTGGTGCTGGCTGCACCCAGCAGCTGGTCCTGGCCCTGTGGGCTGTGGAGGACTTGCCACCCGAGGGTTCTTCCCGCTTCCAGCAGAGTTACTGCATCCCTTTGCTGATAAAAAAGCAAGAAGTGGGAGGGAGGGCAGAGAGGCTCAGACAACAGTTGATTGGAATAATTTAAAAGTACATTCTTCAATAGGTTCAGTCTGTTTCACAGCTTTTGTTCTGCCTGCGTGGCTTCCTCTCTCAGGGTGGCCACCAAAGTCCCATCTCCACTGGCGGGGGATGGCGGGAGCTGCCTCAGTCGCTGTCGCTGCCGGATTGGTGTGACACTGCCCCGCGGCCGAGCTGCACCCTGAGGCAGGCGGGCAGCGCTGCCCTGCCGGTGGCCGGCGAGACCTTGCTGACCGAGGACACGCTGCGGGCCAGGGGCTGCGTGGGGAACATGATTGTGCCGCGGGGTGCCTCCAGGAGCTGCCAGATCTCCCCCGAGGTGGAGCTGCCCAGGTATTCCCACGGCCGGCGCCCGCTGCCGTCCCGCACCTGCACCTGGCACCCCAGCTGCAGCACCAGCACCTTGATGACAAGCTGGTGGCCGTGTATGGCAGCCAGGTGCAGCGGTGTGTACCCGCAGCCCGAGCGCGCGTCCACGTCCAGGGCCAGCCCGAGCCGCCGCGCCGCCGCTGCCAGCTCCTGCAGGCCCGGCCCGTCGCCGTGCTTGGCCAGCCAGTGAAGGACCGTAAAGCCTGATATGAAGTCCCTCTGCAGGGCCAGCTCTGGCTCTTCCAGAAAGAGCCCCCGCACCTGAGCCCAGCAGCCCGCTGACATTGCCACCAGCCAGGCGTGCTCCCGCTGTCCCAGCGGCACCAAGGGCCCCCGGCTTGCGGCGTTCCTGGGGGAGCTCTTGGCGAGCACGGAGCGGGGCTGCCGCCCACAGTCATCGTGCGCTGAGGGGGTGATGCCCTGCGCCTCCGATAAAGCGAGCTGGCACCTGATGCTCCGGAAAACAGGCAACGGTGCTGGGGGCTGGCTCTCTGCGGCTTGGGGCACTGCGGGGCCCTGTGCTGGCAGCAAGGACTGGGATGGGGGCGACCTGGCAAGGGGTGGCTGCAGGGGGCGGGATGGGGACGGGAGAGTGGCGGACTGTGGCAGGGATTGGGGTGGAGGGGACCTGGTGGGGGGCAGGATCCCAGGGCCTGACGGCAGTGTCAGGCTTTGAGACGGCTGCTGTCGCAGGACTCGAGGTTGGGTTGGTCCCTTGGGGGTCAGCCCCCTGGACCCCCTCGGCAGGTCTGGGGATGGCCTGGTGGGGAGCTGCTGCAGGGACCTGGACTGCGATGGGGGCAGCCTGGTGGAAGCGAGCACCTCGGGGCCTGACAAAAGCAGTGGCGATGAGGAGGGGCTGGCAGGGAGTGCCTGCAGGGACCGGGACAGGGGCAGCACCTCCGGGGCGGACAGCAACGGCAAGGACCGGGAAGGGGGCAGGTCGCGCGGGGACAGCGCTCTGGGGCCCGGTGACAGCAGCGGGGACGGGATGGGTCCGGCCGGGGGTCGCCTCTCCGGGCTTGCTGAGGGTCGTGGGGCCTTCAGCAAGGGCGTCTCGGTCACGGGCTGCGGCGGAGATCGGGGCTGAGGCAACCTGTAGGGAGGCGGCGTCTCCGGGCCCGGTGGCAGCGGCGGCGATAGGGACCGGGGCGGCACCGCGGGGGACAGCGCCCCAGGACCCGACGGCAGCGCCGGCGGCCGGGGGAGCACTGTGCCGCCGGGACGAAGCCCCCAGGGGCCCGAGGACAATCCCCAATGGGCCACAGCTGTGCAGCACAGGTGAACATTGTTGAAGGTGACGAGCCATGGAGTGCCCAGGGGCACTGACCAATCCAGAGGGAACAGAGGGCACACAGGTGCAGGGCATCAGCCATGAGGGTGTAAAAGGTTGGGCTAAAGAACAAGGCAGACCTATGCTTGAAGCCTTTGGTTGTGGTGTGGTGTTACTTTGTATGGGTTGAAGCCTTCTGAAATGCAGTGGTGATAGTCTGTGTCTTGTGGCTTTGCAAAATCATGCGTAACATCTTCGGGAACATTGAAACAGTTCCTGTGGGGTCTCTGGAATGAGGGGCTGGCAATTCCCTTTGCTTGGGTGTTGATTTGTTAGCAACAGTGCCCTGGGCACTCCATGGCTTGTCACCTTCAACAATATTCACCTGTGCTGCACAGCTGTAACCCATTGGGGATGAGGCTTTGCAGCAACAGGTGTGAAATTTGGAGGAACAAGGTGCTCAACACTAGCGATTGCAGAGCTGCACTAGCTGAGCTCTGGTAAGATGGCAAAACATTTTTTTGTGCTGATGTTTTTCTCTCCCTGCTCTTTTAGCACGGATGGCCGTACCCATGAAGATGTGTGTGCGCGAGTATCGTGGAGGAAATGCGGCCACAGCTCTCCCAGCTCCAGGCCAAGGAAGGACAGGGTGAGTCACATCAAGGTTTTATGAGCATAGGAGATTTTCACGTTGGCTGAGTTATGCTGATGTAGGAGTATCATGCATCTCTAATCCAGACGAGGGGAAGCTCTGTCTGCCTCACCCACAGGTGCCACAAGGGCAGCTCTTGAGATAGGATCACCAGGTTTCCACTAGAGGCTGCACTGGTCCGGGCGCCTTTCCCGGCGCAGGCAGGCTCAGCGCCTCCTCACCTGGAGCTGTGCGTGCAGGAGGAATTTGCTACAAGAGCAATAATGAGTCTAATGCTGAAGCCTCCCTCGGATCTTGGCATTAACACCTAACATGTTAGAGTGATGAAAGCGCTGCATCAGCTATGCTTGCCAAATGTTCCTGATAGACAGCCTTGCGTGTCTGTTGGTGTTGCTGCTTTGCTGGTGGGGGCTGCACCTGTGCCCAGCTGAGGCTCTGGCCAGGTGCAGATCCTCAGCTGCTGGCTGGGGAGCAGGGTCAGGTAGTGCACTTCCATTGGTTCTGGGTCAGGCTGGGGGTGCAGGAGATGGTGTGGGTAACCACTCTCCAAGATCAGCTCCTGAGTTCTTCAAAGCACAATCATAAAAGCTGCAGGAAGGAGGAACTTTGACTCTGTAGCCTTCAAACAGTGATGTGCTACTATGTAGCCATACAGAAATGGCTTTTGGAGGGGAAAAGTACAAGCTTTGACATCGAAGGGACTACAAATGGTGAGTGTACTGTGAAGCTCTATTTGCTTACTGCTACCTTGGGTCATTTACTCGTGCTCTCAGTTTTTATTCTGTTGGCTTTTTCCTTGTGATTCTGTGGAATTTTTTTACATGGTGGTAGAGCTCTGGTGTGTCCATAAATCAGTGTATCTTTCCTTCATGTGTGCAGCAAATAGGGTCTTGTCTTCTGTAGCCCTTTGGGGTTTTGTGTCTCACAAAGCAGTGTAGGGCCCTTTCTTTATCACTACGTTGGTCCCAGATTGGCAGACATGTTTAGCTTAGCTCTAAGAGTACCCCCTTTTAGATAAAGGGATCTCATGCTCAACACCAGGGTGTTAAGTGTTTGTCAGCTGGAGTGGCAAGGAGCCAGCTATGCTTGTCTTCAGTGCTGGAAGTCGTTTAGTGGAGTGGGAGTGTAGGGACACAGTTTGTGGAATTGGGAGTGGGGCTGCAGCCCAACCTCATCCCCAATGGGCCACAGCTGTGAGAAGCAGGTGAACGTTGTTGAAGGTGGCGAGCCATGGAGTGCTCAGGGGCACTGACCAGCCACCAGAGGGAACAGAGGGCACACAGGTACAATGCATGAACCGTGAGGGGTGTACAAGGCTGGGATAAAGAACAAGAAGGGCAGATGCTTGAAGCCCTCTCAAGTGGTGTGGGGACACTCTGTATTGTGGCTGCCTCAACTGTGACAATATGCTGCAACATGGGAGAGCAACTGGCCACCGTGGCTGCTGTTTGGTATACCAAGTTTGTTGAACAGCAGTGTCTATGCGTTTGACAGAAGAGAAGTGCTCGGAGAAACAAGAAGAATGAGGTGCCAGATTTTATCCTCTGTTGTTATACAAGGGAGTTAAGGGCTCCTGTGTGCCTCCTTGTTAGAAAGACCTCTTTGCTGAATCCCTGTGCTCCTTCGCCTAACTGGTGGTAGGAGGATGATGCTGGCCGCTTCCTTGGCCATCTCTTTGCAAGGATCTCTGGAGTAGATGGGTCTCTACGTTCAGCTGTGGGGCTGCCAGGGTGGGCGAGAGAGACCCTTCGGGGTGAAGGGGCCGGGTACCGCGGCCCGGCGTGGGGGGCGTGAGCAGGGAGAGGGATTAGTGGGGGGTTACCTCTGGGCACCGACTGCAGCCCCCGGGGCTCCCGCCGACTTTCGGGGCTCCCCGAGCGGCGGGGCGGCGCCGGCCGCCCGCCCGCGCTGCCCGGCGGCCCCGGGGGAGGGCCGGGGGGGTCCCGCCTCGCCGCCCGGCCCCTTTGCATTGCGCATGGGCCCTCCCCGCCGGGTGGCCATGTTGCAGTGCTAGCAGGCAGCGCAGAGGCGGCGGGCGGCAGCGCAGCGCAGACACCGCACCGCGATGGCCGTGGCCGTGGGCAGACCGGCGGTGCGCGGGGCCGGGGGGCGGCGGGGACAGCGCGGGGCCGGGGCCGGATCGCCCGAGCGCGGCGGCGGGGCTGCAGGGGCGCAGCGCCGGGGATGCCGTGCCCGGGGTTGTAGGGGTGCGGGGGGCTGCGGGGGCGCGGTGCCGGAGGGCACGGTGGGCTCGCCGCGGCGCGCCGCCTCTGCCCCTTTCCGGGGCCGGGGGAGCCCGCGCAAAACTTTTTTTTGGCCCCGTTTTGGGGCCGCGGCTCGTGATTGCGGCGGGGCCGTGGCGGCGGCGGCGGGCAGCTGCTCCCGGAGCCCCGCGGGCACGGGGAGACGGCGGGGGTGGTCCTGGGCTGCGCCCGCCGCCGCTGAGGTGTTGGTGCCTTCGCCGCGGGTGTTTGTGCCCCGCCGCTGGCCGTGGATGGGAAGAGCTGAGAGCGGCAAGGGCTGTGCCCCGTGCGGGTGGGCAGCCGGCGGGCGGGACGGGCCCGCGCTGCCCGGGACGCTGCGGCGGGCGCGGCACGGCAGTCCCGGCATGGCAGTGCTCCTGGGGCACGCGTGTCCTGCGTTTTCCAGCGTGACCGTTTTTCTGGGGATGTGGTGGCCGAGAGGGTTTTTAGTTCGTTGTGAGAAAGACAAAAGGTTTCCCCCTGACGGGGAGAAAGTGGAAAAAAACCCCCAAACCCATAAAAACTAAGTATGCCGAAAAAGAAAAGGAAATCTCTCTTGCGTCCAGCTTGCAGAAACGTGAATGAAACTCCACCGTGACCAGACTGAATGCGCTTTTGTGCATTGTCGGCCAGGGGAGGGAGAGACTTGACCGACTTCCCGGTAACTTTTTCAGTGCTTGGGAGTAACGTACAAGTTGCCCATGAGTGGAGGACTTGCATGTGACTCCCTCTCAAAATAAGAAAATGGTCTGTTTTCAGGATGAGACCAGTTTCTTTTAACGTTTATTATGTGCTTGTGGATCTGCGGGGCTGTATGGTTCCTCTGATGTGGCAAAGCAAATGTATGGAGATGGGGTTAATGGTGTTACTGGAGGTGAGGAAGTTATGCTGCTAAGCAAAATAAGAGCTGGTGTTTCTTAACAGAATACCTGTAAATTATACCAGCCATTTGTAAAGCTTCTTCTGAAATGTTTCCTTGATCTTGGGGTCTAAAGCATGCTTAGAAATTGAAGTTTGTCTTTCGGGCTAAGAATGTGCATTGAAAGCATGCCTTCAGATGGTTTTTAGGGCAAGCTGAAGGGTATTGCCAAGCAGAGCCTTTTGGCTTTGTGTGGAGCAGTAACTTTGCAGCGTAAATAGGCTCAGGAACGTGGCTCATTGCAAGACGTGATTGCTGTTTGTTCTTGTGAATGTGTTTGGCGCTTTTTTTTTTTTTTTTTTTTTTGTTGCTATGTTGAGCTGGTGCTGCTACTGAGCCTCCTGGGTTATTTTGGTGAATCCAAGTCCAGGGCCATCCCGGAACCACATCCACAGAGGGTTTTGCACCAGTTAAACCAAATTCTTGTCTGTGGACTGCTGAGTCCAGTGCAGTGGGACTGACTGGGGAATGAAGCATCCGTCAGCATGAGAGAAGCGTGTGGGAGAGGGAAGGAGGAGGGCACTCAGCTTCCTCGCAAGCAACTGCTGGGCAGACCCTCCATCCTCCGGAATCCGTGCTTTTTGGACACGGGAGTTGTTTTATCTCGGGGTGATAAGAGAAGAAAGGACGGTGGCCTGGCGCTCAGGAGGTGTTGGGCATGTTCTCTCTTATGTACCTCCTTATCTAATCCTCCCTGCTCCCACTTTGCATGCTGCTGTTGTGTTGCTGGGAGGGCGGCAGGCAGTTGGAAGGAATAGTTAATTATATGTTAGAGCAAGGCAAGACTGGTGAACGTTTGCCTTTCCAACTTTGTTACAAAACATGATGAAGTGGAGCTGTGAGTGGCATGCAGCTTGTTGGAGGGAGAATTAAAGGAAGGGGGAAAGAAAAAGGAAAGGAATGAAACCAAAAGCAAGTCAGTTGGAGCTAAAATGATGATAACATTCCTGAGTCACAACCTTTTACGTCCTGGCAGGATATGACATTATGTTAATTGCAAAAGTATGCATAGAAAAATAACTTGAGCAAACAGCTCTGAAGTGTCTGTGTTTAATTGTAGCCGAGCAGGGCGTGTTTTGGTAGGATGGGAGGCTTTCTTTTTAAGGCCCTGATCCCACAGATGTGAAGGCACATGTGTAATGTGCTGCCTGTAATTTTGTTGGATTTAATGGAGTCTGATCTCGGCATGCAAATGTAGAGGCATGCATAAGCAAAGTTTTGGCAGGATGGGTGCCGGGAGCTGCCGTGGGAGCTCTCAGCTGATGAAATCCATGCCTGTGCTTAAACATGCACCAGGCTGGGAGGATGCTGTGGTCATCTGGGCTCAGTGTGAGATAAGCCACTTCCAGTCTGGAAGCTGTTGAGATGTGCTGGATAGGGGACACTTTTCTTCCTCTTGGATTAATTCCCAGCATCTTGACCGGTGTTGGGTGGTTTGTTGGTAGATCTGAGTATGGAAGAGGACCCTGGCCTACCTACCCTTCTCTTTGTGTTTATCCTAAATGTGTGCAGGACCAGAGCTTGGTTGTGTTACACGAGTGAGACTCATGTTCATTTAAAAGTATGCTTTGGTGTACCCTCCTCTCCAAGTCTGACAAAAACTGAGGGGAAAATGAAGCTGGAGTACAGATTTTGCATGGGAACCATAGAACATGTTATCGGAGAGATTAAAACAGCACAATGTATTCTTACTCTTCAATCTGTTTTAAAAATACTTGATAATGAGAGACTGCTGGTTTCCATGGAGGGGAGGAAGGAGAGGGAGTAGGGAAGGTAGAGCGGGGCTGAAGCCTCTGTGCTTTGTCTTTGAGCAGCAGATTGGCTGACACCCACTGGGTTCAGCAAGAGCTGGGGGCAGCACCTTTGGAGAGAGCCACACCTGTGTGTGCTGCTGCGTGCCGAGGGCCACCAGGACCACTGGCTGGGGACAAGAGATGGGCACCAGGGAAGGGAGTACCCCATGCTTCTGTGTTGTGGGACCGCAGATTCCTCCTGGTGATGCTGTCGCTCCTGATGGGTGGCGCTGCTTGGGCTGCTGAGGTGGCCAGGGCACAGGGTTTGGCTTCCTTGCCTGCTGCTGCCAAGTGTGGCTTTTGGGCCTGGCCTGGCTCAGCTGTGTGCACCAAGGAAGCAGCCCTGGGTGGTGCACACAGGACCGTGTTTTAGTTTGTGACCTTTTTGTTTCCTTTATTCACCTCGCTGCCTTGTTTTCGGTAGGAAATTGTTTCAGACAATTCTTGCTGCTCCTGTTGATGTTAACAATGGTGGGAACCTGCCTCCTCCTTGCTTTTGTTTCAGCACAGCCTCGGTCATGGGGCAGGTTGTGTGTGAGCCCACCACACGCTCAGGACCTCCAGCTTTTGCAGTGTGAATGAGCTGAGCTGGAGTCAGGTCCTTGAGATACTTAGAAAACCCTTGCTTTGTGTAGGTGAGATGATGGGGATGCAATTTTAGTGCATGAGTAAGGGCCCCTAAAATAATGATGAGGATTGACTAAGCATGAATCTGAGGAATAAAATATTTACGCACAGCTGAGGCATGTTTTATATGTCCCCTTCCCACCCCTGCAGCAGCCCTGTGGCTCTTCGAGGTGATTCTGGGAGCACGGGCATGAGGCTGCTCAGTGCTTGCTTGGCAGGAGAGATGCCAAGGGCACAGGGTCTTCTGTTGGCTTGGCAAATGCTGCAGCTTCATCCAGCCTTGCCCTTGGCGTGGTTTGGCTCTAGGCTTCAGTCCTGTGAGCTGCAGGGAAAAGATACTGAAGCAGCTTCAGCGTAGAACAGTTGGATGTGACCAGGTGATGTAAAAATAAACAAAAAAAGCCTCCCAATAGTACTCGAAGCTTTTTTTAGGTACGCTGTGTATCTGCCTTCACTTCCAGCTCTGTGAGCAGCTCTGAAGCCTGCTGGAGGAAGCGATGCGTAATAATGGTTCAGACAAACACCACGGCACGGGGAGAGTTCAGCACTGCTGCTGCTGGAGGAGGCTCTGGAGCAGAGACACAGAACCCACTTTGGGCTCTCACTCTCTTAGCTCACAGCAGCCTTAATGGAAATTGCTCCATGGAGTGTAAGTCCTTGTTTGCATCCACTATGCAGTGGGACTAAGAGATGCCCCTTCTTGGCTGCTCCCTCCCATCTGGATGCATTTCCCCATCCATTGCACCCTATGTGGGCCAGGACTTTGTCAGAACTGTTGTCCACAGCTTGGGCAGGTGGGATGAAAGGGGGTGTGGGCAAGGTCCACTTGGCCGTGCACAACGTGCTGAAGGAAGAACAGCTCCCTATGGTTTTCCTTTAGCAGCCTTTCTGGAAACTTTCTCTCTCTTTGGAGCGCTCTGCTTATCCCATCTAAGTGGTGCTCTACTGGCACAAGCTGTAGTCCTAAGGCCATTACTGCCTTTCCCTGCTAGTACAGGTATTTTGCTGAGCTCGGTGATTTATGAGTCTAGAGCTATCTTTGGGACTCCTTACTTAAAAATGCAGGCTGCGCCCGTGTTGTTGGCAACAAGGGCTTAAGATCTGGGTTTGCAATTAGAACTGTTGAAGTGTCTGCAAATAGGAAGAAGCTGCATCTTTTCTTGCAGGCTTAAGGTTTTTGTTTTCTGTGGTAGCATCCCACATAAGGTGCCGTCAGAGAGCAGACTGGTGCTGTTTTGGGGAGTTGGTGATTTCTTCCATCTGAGCTTACAGCTTCTTTAGATCTTTCTATGGTCTAATTGGATTTTCTGTTTCTGGGTTTATTTTCAGATGGGATCTGGCTGCTGGAAATATGTTATTGAAGTACTGTAATTGTGGGTTATTTCTTTACCAGATCTGCTCATGAATACTTGGCACAAGCTAATAGAAAAAGACTTGGTTTAAAAACATTTTGGTTTTGCCACTCTTGCTGCCCCCGCTTTGCCAGCGGCTCCTGAGAACCGATTCCTGT